CTCTTGGTTCATCCCTAGAAGGTCCAAGAGTCGGTTGCACGGGCGCCACGGCTGAATCACGGGGTTGGCCTTGTGCTTAGGCTCCTCCACTGCCTCCAGCACCTCTATCACCCCTTTCTTCAGGTCCAGCCATCGTCGTAGCTGCTCCAAGGCGCTCTGATACCACTTGTTATAGTCAAAATAGGCTTCAATGTGCCTAAAATGAAAGATAGAGTGCACGGTCAGATTTCTGCACAGCGGTTTCAAACGTTCATAGCGATCTGGTCACAAATCCAAATGGATCTGGAGCTTCTTAACGTTGCCTACAATAGGCAATTTATATCGCACGATTTCATTAAGAATTGACGACAAAGCGTCAAATTGAACGAACGGCACTATGGCAGCAACTATAGTCTTAGAACACAAGATAGGAAGAGTTAGGAAGAGTTATGAGTTGGGAATGACACCCAGCTCCTACAAACCCTTAGAGCTGAGGTACAGTGATGTGGAATAGTGCCACACTGTTCCCAACCAAGAAGGGTCTCGAAACTACCCTCCACAAGGGTCTACACCAACAGAAATGTTACACTACACATTGTAATTTAACTATCTTCAACATCTTGAAGTGTACCCTTCTTTTTTCGCGGGCTTCGCGATCACTTGAATCTTGACACCAAGGCTCTGGTTCTTAACCATTAACTCATCCTTGAGGTCTTGATGGGTCTGCTGCACACACCTGCGATACGCCGAACGTTCCACACACAACAAAATAGAAACCGTGCACGAGACACACGACAAAACAGAAACCGCGCACGGGACACAAACAAACGAAGACGTAGACACGCGACTAGCGATAACTCGCTATTGACTTGACACACGCATTCGACATCATGACTCAACATTCACACACTATTATATGCATGAAATATATTATCCCATGCCCTCATACCATTCCATGCACATTCGCATGCACGCACACGGACAACAAGCCGAGTGCAAACCGTAGGTTGCACCAACACTCTTGCTTTTCTCGGGTGAGTTCTCCTTCAATGTTTGCCCAGCCTCCTCCACCAGAGCTCGTGGCTCTAGTTGATGATGCCCAGGTGCCTTCGGTGTTTTCTGTGTTGTCACCTCTCCATCCCCATCCCTCGGTGGGGTTAGCGCGTGCCAATTCAGGGTCACAGCCAGCCGAAATCCGCTACTTGATGAACTTCTCTCTCTCTCTGCTTGCACAATTTTTTCTTCATCTTTCTTGATGCTTGGCTCATCTGGCTTGTCAGGATCTTTCCAGTCCTTGTTTTCCTGCTGATGAATCTCATCCTTTCTCATCCTTTGTCTCTGTTGACACCCCGTCCAGGATCCAGCGAAGTGTTTCAGCTGCGGGGGCAGGCCTTTCCTCTCCTATTACACCGAGTTCTTTCTGGGCGCCAAAGATGCAGTACGAGGCAGTTGCGAGCTCTCTGTCATGCCCTCAGTTGCAGCGCGGCGCGTTCTGCTTCCTCGATTGTCACTAGATCTCTCTCGACTACTCCAGTGTGACTTGCTGCGGGCATGAAGCAGCTGGTGCAACGTCCATCAGGCCCATGTCAGTGCAGATTTGTCTCGCGAGAGTGAGGGCTCCGCCTAATCCACGGTCGACCGTCAGGGTGTTTCCAGAAATTCTTGGTTTTGTAGGCAAAGTCGAGTGGAATGAGGTCCACGAGTTTGTCTGAGAAGGCCTTGCAGTCAGGGAGGTCGAAGTCGAGCACATAGACTATGTTGATGGATCGTGCCCGCCCTAGATATTTCAGGTCTTCGACTGGCATGTTGGGAGGAGCGAAGTGGAGTTTGAGGTTGCACGTGAGAGGATGAATGGTGAACGTGACTCCACAATCGGAAAGTTGCCTCGCGAATAGCAGATTGAAGCGTAGGTTCGGGACATAGAGCACATTGTTGAAGGTGATGCGTGTATTTCTATCTCGTGCTTGTTGCACGACTATGCCTTACGCATTCGCTCGCAGTTGATTATTGTGGGCGATAGTGACATAACTGGCAGTAAGGGTGGTAGTCACGTTGAGATCCCACTATATGCTGGCCATAGCAGCTGTCCAGGTACCAGTTGTTGTAGTTGTCGTTGTTGCCACGCAGGAGTTGCGCGAGCCGTAGCGTCGCGATAGTCGCCGTATCAACCATGGGAAAATCTTCTTGCTCAATCCATCCCAGTGGAACACATCTTTGGTCGTGGCAGTGAGGCAGGCTTTTTTGCAGCTGGATTGTAAGTTACTGTCTTGCTTGTTCTGATCTCCGTAGTAGTAGTGACTGTCGGTGAAGGGATTATTCCAATCCACTTCAGGTTAAATTAATTCCTCGACAGGCACCTCGTCTCCGTCATGCGCAGTAGCTCGTGCGCGACGGCGCGTCGCCATATTTTTTATTACGTTCCTTGTTCCCCCCTTCGGAGTTGCTTGTGTCTGATGCTGCTATTGTCCTTGTGCAGGTGGACGGAAAGGTTGAGGTTCAGACTGAACGAGCATCTTATCGGCCGACCTAGTTGTTTTGGTGAGTGGAGTTTGGGTGGCGATTGTTGGACCGGAATCTGCATCGGTCCATTGAATGTCCGAAGACTTTGGAAATTTTGCTGTAGTGGCGCTGCGATTGTCGTCGCTCCTCGTGATTATAAGCGCAAAAGGCAAGGCGTTCTTGTCGCGGTGTATGAATTGCCTTGCTCGAGTCCATGCCCTGTTGTTTAGTGAGGAGGGCGGTGCACAGGGCAGCTTAGGAGATTACCCCCCTTTGTCGAAGTAGTGCCTTGCAGGGCTTCCATTCGGGCCTGAGACCGGCAAGGACAATGTTGACGGAGATTTCCTCCACAATTGCGCTCTCGTGCTTTGTGATTTGGTCGCGGATATTTCGGCAACGATTAATATACGTGCTCGTATTCTCCTTGTGCCCCATCTTGGTCTCCATCAGTTGCTGCAGGAGTCTGCTGGAGGTGACCAAGTCCTTTGGCTAATACACCTCTATCAGGTGCTTCAGGCTTCCAGTGCTGGAGCTGCGATATCTTTGTAGGAGCAGATGTCGAGTTGCTCCGTGGGCGTCATTTTCCTTTGCAACACGCAATACGCCATCAAGGACTCGCTGTTGTATTGAGCCCGAGCATCTTCGGTGTCGTTCATAGGTTTAGGATACGATCCGTCGAAGAAGTGGTAGATTTGCACTGTCTATAGGAGAAGCTCCAGCTCAAAGCTCCACGTATATAAATCTTTACCATCAAACGCGGTACTAGTCTTGATTTTTGAAATGTTGAGAAAATGAGCTTGCGCAAAGTTAATGACTTCATCACTTGGACGGGGGGCTGATGTGTATAATTTGACTACTATAGCAGGTTGATAGAGCTTGAAAGCACGATTCCAATACACCAAAGATTGCAGGAAACGGTCCACCATAGCCAGAGTTACACACAAACATAGCAGTGATAATTAGTTGGCTAATTTCTAGTTTGTGCTCTCTGGTTTTATACTGGGACGCAATACAAAAACAAAGCACACAAAGATGTGTCGACCCGGGTCGCACGTTGAAATTTGTCGACGCGAAATTCCGGTCCTTGAATTGCGCCGGGCGAATTCCATTGACAGGAATTCCGTAGACGAGAATTTCCGCTACCAGAATTTCGTCGACCATCGACTGTAACTCCCATGCAAATTCCGTTGACTTCGACACTTGCTGCCGAGTTTCAAACCGTACACGACCCGAGACCGATTTCGCCAAAATGTCCCCAATCTGTCCCCAATCTGTCCCCAAACTGTCCCCAATCTGTCCTGACAAGACACTTTTGGGACACTTGAATCAAAAGGTCTCCAGTTCGAAACTCGCGTGCATCATAACCAGCGCCTTAGCAAAAACTGTCCTGAATCTGTCTTGAAACACTTTCAAGACACAGATTTGAAGGTCACGAGTTCGAATCCCAGCGCCGACATTTTGTTGCTCATGGCAGCATTTCCTTCTAACATGATGGTGCTGTGTTGTTTGTGTCGAGGGAGAAGGTGTGCGGGGCGGTTTCGCGGTCGAGGCCGGTTTAGCAGGTTGTGCTGGTTGCAAGGAGGTTCCCGCATCGCCATTCCGCAATGCTTGGAGGTCTTTCTCTGTTATTGACAGTCCTTGAAACAGTTGCTCGAGCGCGACGGTGCTGATCCTAGTTGTCGCCTCGTTTGTCTCAGCCGGGTTGGGCTGGTCTTCAGCCGTTATATTTGCTTGGCCTCCTGATCCTTAGGCCATCTTGACTTGGGAGCGTGTGTCGCTCACCAGCTTCGATCTTGCGAATTTTTTGGAAGTAGTAGTGCAAAAAATCCCTGAGTAGCTCTCATACCATGTTACAATCCAAAAAATGTCTTAGCCAGGGACCGGCTCGGGGATGTTCGCAGATAGAATTACAGCGGAAGTAGTGACCTTAGGTCATAGTGAATGTAAATGATTGAGATGATAATAGCAATGCATCAAGATGTATAGGAATACAAAGGGAAAATGAAACGTCCTAGCTAGCCATGTACTCTAAGGGGCACATTCCCTTATTACAGTGAATTCAAACCGTGTAGCGCGGGAACCCGTTTCAAACATTTTCCCGCCATTTTCACCTCAAATGTTTCTGCCTACATCAGTCTCAATCTGACACTTGCTGGTGTCGTTTCAATTCTTCTGACACCTCGTCTTTGTTCGCAGTAAGGTCGGCTCCTGTAGCGTACATGAATGTTTCTTCATAAAGGTTCATATCTCAACAATAGCTAGTGGGGGTGGTGAGGTGGTGCTTCAAGCAGAAACAATATGGCAAGTTCACCTTTCTTAGTGCAAGAGAAGCACCACCCTTCAAGACCTTGCAGTTGCTACAGAGTCCGAGCCTACGAACCCAGCCTGCATCAAGAAATGGTGGGAGAGAGAATAAGATGTAGCGGTAAAAACGTTAAGAGTGCACCCGCAACAGAGGTTGGCATCACATTGAAGGATGGACCTTGGCTGTGTGGCATGTAGGACAAGGGTACCTGGAGTCCCTAGGCTTGCAGTAGCACTTTCAATTCGGAGAGCTTCACATCACGCACCATCACCGCCCGCCGGTTGGCCTCCTCCCCATCCCCCTCCAGCGGCACCAGCTCCATCAGTGGCCGCGCTCCCCCCTTGCTCGCCCCTCCCTCTTCCGCTCCCACTCCTCCCTCTCCACCTCCCCCCTGCCCCTTCTCCTCCCACTCTGCCCCTTGGCCTCCTGCCCCTGACCCCGAGGGTGCAGGTAGCAGAGAAGGGCCGGTGATGCGGGGCAGCAGGGAGAGCGAGGCGGAGGGCGGCGCGCAGGAGGAGGGGTGCAGGCAGCCCTCCACAAATGCCACTTCGTAGTCGTCTTGTAGCTGCGGGGAGGGGCCGGGGGGGAAGAGGAAACGGGGAGCAGATGAGCATTAGGGTTGGAGAGATCCAGCTGGTGCGCCTGGGCGGCATGTGTAGGTGTGAGATGTTCTAGGTAGTGGGGAAAAATGGTCAGCACATCCATGTATGTGTGTGCATGAGTGAGGTCATGCAGTGGTGGCACAGTGCATGAGCACAAGGCAGCAGCGGGAAAGTGGTGTGCACACCTTGTGGAAGTGTAGCCCAATCAGCAGGTCATAGCTCAGCTTCACCTGGTTGCCAACACACATGGCAGAACAGGAGAGGGGGGCGGAGGAAACAAAGGATGAGGTATGCAACAGCCATAACCCACCCAACATGCATCCGCATCGCTACGCATGCCACCTACCATGCCATCTATCACCACCATAACCTAAACCCTCCCTGGCACACATCCACTCCCCTTTCCTTGAAAACCCGTGTTCGATGGCATGTGGGTCTCACGCTAGAGGTGGCGAGGTGGGGAGTGAGGTCGATGCTCTCGCCTAGGCCGGACGCCATGCAGCCGCTGCAGATGCCCGCAATCAGTCAACTATAACGCCGAGAGGAGGTTAAATCGTAGGTTCTGCATGATGAACACGTCATTTAGTATGACATGCATAGTGCTACTGTGAGCTTTGAGGACGACAATCCCTTGCGCGTTTGCCCGCAGACACTTGTTGTTCACCACGGTGATATACGTGATCGTGGAGGTGGGGATGGCGTGTGAGATGTAGCGCCTGGAGCCCGCCATGTGCTGCCCGCAGTAGGTGTCAAGAGGCCAAGTGTTTTGTTGCTTATCGTCGTTGCGCGCGAGGAGCACGAGTCGCGGCGTGACGATGCGTGGCGTGTCTAGCTTCAAGAAGCGTTCGCGCGCGATCCAATCGATGGGCGCTGGCCTGGGGTCATGCAAATGGGGGGGGCTTTTGAGCAAGGGGACTTGTAGGTTCCAGTCCTGGTTGTCGTCATTGTTGTAATTGTGGTAATAAGTAAGATTGTTGCTGTTTGAAGCAAAAATTGGCGCTCAGGCAACGGGGTGCACATACGGCGACGACGGGTTCCTCGTATGTGACGCATCGCCATGTTGCTGATGACATTGTGAAAGCCTCCAAATTGTGCTGGTTGTTGCTGCTAGTGCTGAACTGAAGAGTTCGTAGCATGCGGTGCGGGCTGAAAGCCCTGGGCTTGACGCGTATCTTGCTTCACATCTTGTCGGCAGGCCTAAGTGCTGGCAATTGCTAGAGCGGAATTTGCATCACTCCGCAGAGTGGCCAAAATTATTTCATATCTTGTAGTGATGTCGCTGCGGTCGTTGCTCTTCTTTGTTGTTAGCGTAGAAGGCATGTCATTCTCGTTGCGGCGTGGGGCGCTCTCGATTCGAATCCATGTCCAGCTGTTTGACGAGAAGATCGAGGCAAAGGGCGGCTTTTGGGATATCCCCATATTGCCGGAGAAGCGCCTTGCAGGGTCGCCATTCGAGGCCAAGCACAATGGTAACAAAGATTTCTCCCAAAAATGAGCTCGCGTGCTTCACAAATTGATTATGTATGCTCCGGCAACAATTGATGTAGCTGTTGGCCTTCTCTCCGGGTCCCTTTTTTACTTCCATCGGCTGTTGAAGTAAACGGCTTGACGACACTGAGTTCTTGGGCTGGTACATCCTTGTAAGGTAACGCCAGGCCTCCAGTGCCAAAGTAAGATTTGTTTTAAACGAGTGAATGCCTAGCTGCTCCATCGGCGACATGTTGTGTAACAGCACATGTACGCCGTGAGCGACTCGTTCTAGTACTGCGCTCTGGCGTTGACAGTGTCGGCCGATGGGCCTGCAAAACTGCTATTAACAAAGTGATAAATTTATGCGTTCTGCAGCAACAGCTCCAGCTCAAAGCTCCCGGTATAGAAATCTTTGCTGTCAAATGTCAGAACTATGCTCTAGGCTGTAGTGGGGCACTCCTTATGGGGTACAGCCCAATTAGGTTTTGCTATACAAACCCTGTACTGCTGTGTTTCTAGTCATTCTTGATTCCTATTTTTTGACATGGTTTCAGAGCACGTGCCATAGTGGGAACAGTTTTTTTTTAGGGCCCACCATGATAATTTTTTTTTCCTGCCCTGCCCGAAGCGCGCCTCGCGCCTGTCTCACCTGCGCCATCGCGCGCCTTGCCCTACGGCCGCCTGTAGCGGCCCTGCCCTCCTGGCCCGTCGCGGCCCTATCTTAACGGCCCGTCGCGGCCCTGCCCTGTCGCCGCCTGTCGTGGCCCTGCCCTAACGGCCCGTCGCGGCCCTTACCTAGCCGCCCGTCGCGGCCCTGCCCTGTCGCCGCCCGTCGCGGCTTGACCTAGCCGCCCCGTCGCGGCCTGACCTCGCCGCCCCGTCGCGGCCCTGCCCTCGCCGCCCCGTCGCGGCCCTGCCTTGCCGCCACCCGTCGCGGCCCTACTCTACCGCCGCCCCGTCGCGGCCCTGCCCTGCAGCCGCCCTTTTGCGGCCCTGCCCTGCTGCCGCCCCGTAGCGGCCCTACTCTGCAGCCGCCCTGTCGCGGCCCTGCCCTGCTGCCGCCCCGTCGCGGCCCTGTTCTGCTACCGCCCCGTCGCGCCCCTGCTCTACCGCCGCCTCGTCGCGGCCCTGCCCTACTGCCGCCCTGTCGCGGCCCTGCCCTACCCGCCAGTCGCGGCCCTGCCCTGCACCCACCCCTGGTAAGCGCCCGCCCTACCAAGCGCGCCGCTGTGCCCGCCTGCCTGCCGCGCCGCACCGCCTAGCCGAGCCGCGCCGCCCTGCCGAGCCGCGCCGCCCTCCCCTGCTGCTACTGCCGCCATGGCTAGTCCTACTGTTCTTATCTTCGATGCTGCGGTCGATTTTGACGTTTGGGTGGATGACTTGCAGCTCTATCTTTGGTGCAACTCTAGGGACGGAGTCTCACTTTTCGATCACACGTCCGGCGCCTCTGTTGCACCTGCAGCCGACGCTGACAGTACGGTTCGCTCGCAGTGGACTACTCGTGTCGCTGTTGCTCGACTTGCTGTTCTTAGTCACCTGCAGTCTGCTGAGCGCGCGCACTTAGGCCAGTACAAGACTGCAAGTCTCTGTATGACGCTATAGTCGCACGCTACCCCTCTCCTGCCTCTTCTGCCCTCAGCCGCCTCATGCTGCCGTACTTGTTCCCTGACCTAGCCGCCTTTGCCACATTCGCTGACCTCATCACTCACCTCCGCACTAGTCACACCCGCTACCGCGCTGCGCTTCCCTTCGAGTTTTGCGCCAAGACCCCCCCCCCCATGTACATCACCCTCTTCTACCTCGTCACCCGTCTCCTTGACTCTCTTCGCTCAGTCAGGGACCACTTTCTCTCCCTTTGCCCCACCGAGCTCACCGTAGACATGCTCGAAGAGCGCCTCACTGCAGCTGAGACTAGCATAGTTGCTGTAGGAGCTTCTCGCAACGACCCTCGCGCCCCTTTCTTTGAGGGTGTTCCCCCGTTCCCCTTTTGCTCTCTGTTGCTTTTGCTACTGCTGACGACCTCGTTGGCACCGAGGTGGTCGGCGCTACGTCTGCTACTAGTGGGAGGAGCCGCAGCAGCAAGGGCAAGGGGGGCAAGGGTGGTGGAGGGGACGGCGGGGGCGGCGCTGGTGGCGGTGGAGGAGGCGGAGGGGGTGGGGGTGGAGGTGGGGGTGGTGGCGGGAGTGGGGGCGTTGGTGGCGTCGGTGGCGGCGGTGGTGGTGGGGGTGGCGGCGGCAGTGGCAGTGGGGGTGGTGGCGGCGGTGGTGCTGGTCGGGGTGGAGTCGTGCAGCGTGGAGGCTTTGGTAGTGGCCAGCGCCAGCAGCAGCCGCGTTCCCGTGAGGCCCCATCCCCCCAGCAGCTTCGTGAGTGGTACGCTGGGCGTGGGAGGTCTGGGGGTGCTGGTCCCTGCGCTTACGTTCTCCACACCGGCGAGCGCCGTGGGGAGACGTGCGGGCTGCCACACGCGACGCAGCGCTGCTTCGGTCGCCTGACTGACGCCTGGCGCGCACTGTTTCCTGACGCCACTGAGCTCCCTCGCTGGGCTGATCTGCTTAAGTTTGGTGTTGCTATCTTTGATCTTGATTATGATGCTATCCTTGCTGCCATGTATGCTGTGACTATTAGTGCTGAGGGTGACTGTTACCTGTTTGTGCCGCCTGACCCAGGTATAGAGGCTGCTGCTCTAGGTGCGAGTGAGTCTGCTGGTCCAGGTACTGGTGAGTCTGCTCTCTCAGGTACTGCGCCTGCGGAGGTGCCCCGTGTCTCCATGCCGGAGACCACACCTGCTCTGCGGTGGACGGGGAAGGTTGGCGATGCGTCTGCGTTCCGTGTCTAGGGATCTCGAGCTTTTGTCCGCGATTCTTCCGCGGACAAGCAATCCTCCCATGATGTTCCCTGCGTCTTCCTTGGCTTCCCCCCTGACGTGCCTGGTTGGCAGTTTTACCACCCCACCTCGCGTCGTGTTCTGTCCTCTCAGGACGTCACGTTTGACGAGTCGGTTCCTTACTACCATCTCTTCCCCTACCGCACTGCCCCTCTCCCCCCCCCGCCGCTCTTCCTAGCACCAGGTCATCCTCCGGTAGACCCCCTTCCCCCTCAGGGTCCTGCACCTTCAGGTGTGTCCCAGGTAGACCCTGTCGAGCCTGTCGAGGTAGCTGTCGAGTCTGGTGCTGCTAGGGGTGCTGAGCCTGCGGGTGAGGGGCCTGGGCGTTCGGAGCCTGTGGGTGCTGAGCCTGGGGTTGCTTTGTCTGAGGCTGCGGAGCCTGGGGGTGCTGAGCCTTGGGTTGCTGAGTCTGAGTGTGCGGAGCCTGGGGGTCCTGAGCCTAAGCATGCTGAGCCTGGAGGTACTTTGTCCTCTGGAGGTCCTGCGGGTGTCTTGTCTCGACGAGAGCCACTCTCTCCACCGCAGCTACGGGAGTGGTTTGCTCGTCGCCGGAGTCGTGCTGCTAGAGCTGGGGGGCCGGCCGCTGGGGGTGTTGCTGACACTAGAGGTACTACTGGTGCTGTAGCAGCTGGAGGTGCTGGAGGCGCTGGTCCCGGAGGTGCTCGTACTGGGGGTCCCGGACCTACTGGAGCTGGAGCTGCTACTGGAGCTGGAGGTCCTGCTGCTGTTGGAGCTGCTGGAGGTACTGGAGCCGCTGGTCCCGGAGGTGCTCGTACTGGAGGTACGGGAGCTGCTGGAGCTGGTGGTGCTGCAGGAGTTGGAGTTGGAGGCGCTGGAGCTGTTGCTACTAGAGGTGCTGCTGGAGCTGGTGCTGCTGGAGGTACTGGAGCTGGTGGTGCTGCCGGAGTTGGACCTGGAAACCCTGGAGCTAGGGGTCGTGGTGCTGTCTCTGCTGGTTCTGGA